CCTGTAGAAACCCGCCTGATCCCCCTCGCGGCTCTTCTTCTCGAGCTGCCGTACATAGCCCTCGAAGAACGTTTCCAGTGCTCTCCACCTCGCGATGCTGCGCTTCTTCCGCGCCGCCTTGAGCATCGCCTTCAGGGTCGCCTCGCAGGCGCTGTTCTTTGAGGCCCCGCGCAGTTGCTGCTGGGCCGCCTTAATCTCCTTCGACGCGTCAGAGATCTCGTGCTGCGCTTCGCTCGTGTACCAGCCTCTCTGCCCTCGTGCGCACCTCGCCAGCGGCGCGGTCTCAGCAGCGGCCGACATCACCGTAGCCGTCAGCTCGGCGGCGGTCTCTCCCGTTGGCCGCCTGAGCGCCGTGGGCGGAGGGCGGCTGGAGGCCCTGTTTGGAAGGCGACCCGTAAGTGTTTGTCCTTCCTTTACCGCTCGAGGTCGATACGGATCCGGCTGCTTCCGCTGTTCCCCCGCACTCGTCGGTTGGGTGCGACACGGGGGGATGTACGCAGTAGGATGTAGGAATTCGATCCTCGACCCCGCCCCGACACTAAGCAGGTATAGTCTACGGCCTTATGGTTGAACCTTAGAGGAAACTGCGGTAGTCGCAGAAATGCGAGAGATGTCACTGGGTCTCTCCGTGCGGCGAACGAGACAGCAGGTGCCGAGATTGGCCGAGAGACTTGCGACAGATCTTGCGGGGTGTTTGAAGTACAAAATGAGAGGAGGAGTTTCTCCGGTTCCTGGGGACGAGTCCGCGGAACCACGCTCGCAAGGCGCAGATCGTCCTGTACTTCAGCACGTGTAGAGACACCTCCCATCTGCTCTACTGCTCGCTCTCCCACTACTGCCTCCTACCGCTGTCTACAGGCTCATGCGTCATCATCAACCTGACCCCCACGAAAATGGCAACCTCAGCTCCCGCGTCCGGCAGAGGTGTTGAAGTGAAGCAAGTAACAATCTCGCCAGCAACCTCAAATCCCAAGCTGGAGTTTGTCGACAATTTCGAGCAGGCCTTCAAGTCCTCATCATCACTGAGCGGCGCTTTCGAGCACCACGTCGCGTAAAAAGCAATTTTCAGAACGGAGGAGGACGCATCAGGTGCACAGGCGTTTGATTTCCCCCTCTATGTGTATCGTGTATCGTGTGCAGTGGGAGAGCTTGTTGTCTTGCCGGCACTGTAGACTTTTGTACATTGAACAGCAACAAACAACAGCCGTACGCAATGCACGCGTACCATGCACGCAAACTTGAACATTGTACAAGTATCTCTTTCGAATTGCCATTTTGCGTTCATGTTTCTCTTCATATGCGGGGAAGAGAGAGAAGCCACACGGACAAATATGTTTCCCGCAGATGCCCTCTGCGCCTGTCCTATACCGCCGTGTCTCTGTCCATCAGTAGTCTCTCTCTCTCTTTCCTAAGAAAACAGCCCGGGGTTTCTCTACCGCTGTGGGAAGTTGTTCCTACTGCGCGGAACATTTCAGACGACCAAGTCCCCAAATGGTACTCTACCATTTACTCTACCCAATTCGAGGTCGTCATGAAAGTCTCACTATACGGTGGAACATCGTCTTTTCCTTATCGTTCCTCACACCGTGTTCTGCCCCGGCTGTCTCACCATTCCCTTTTCCTTATCGCCTATTATATACGAGACACCCTTTGCGAATCCTCCACATTGTTTACTGTTTAGGCTTGTACGCATCTGATTTCCTCCTCCCTGCCCTCTGGATTACTCGTTCCGAAACCTCCCCCCCGGCCCCAGGGCATTTTCCGACGATAGTGCAGTGCGAAGTCTTTTGGTTCGAAGTCTTTTGGTTCCCGCCCGGTCTTGTTGACTCACTCTGTAAATACTCGCAGAGCATGGCAATAGTGCAGCGCTTTGACTTCACGACCGCTACGGTACGAACAGAGTGGCGCGTCATCGGGCAGCGTCGCATGACAAGACATCTATTTCACGATCAGAGCCACGGCTCCGCCGTTTGCTCTGTATCCCGACTGCGTGCCACCTAACCTCCTCCCGTGTACGAGCCCTTACTTCTCCGGTCTGCTCTTGACCCCCCTCATGTCCTCTGAAATTTATCTCCATCTTATCTGCTTGCCGCCAGTGAAAGAACTCCAATTGGGTGTCCCCGTAGAAGAACGCTACACCCTTCCTCGTGAGACAGTGTACGGCATGGGCTACCCCTGAACTACATGCAAATATTTCGTCTGATCGCAACTTCTTGGCCTCCTTGGCGACTTTGTCCAATCCTCCATATCCCTCTCTCTGAGTTCACCTGCTACTGCGTTTGTGTAATTCTGCTATTCCTTTGCTGTCCAGCGGGCCGTGTCCTTGCAAGTGAACTCTTCGAGGAAGTGACCACTCGTAAGAACTCTCTCAATCTGATACCCAGAGGAACAAAAAGGGCTCAGATAAATTCCACGGTTTCAATAAACTTTAGTCTGCGCCGGCCATATTTGCCTCACCATACTTGTTTTTTGCCAGTTACCATGTTCTCGTGCATGGTTGGCCTTCCTCTGATTTCCTCCTTGTTTGTCCTGCTACATTTTCCCATAATCTTTCTCTCTCTCTCTCTCTCTCTCTCTCTCTCTCTCTTCCTCACCTGTCCCTCACATAGCCGGGGGCCCGACACGACGAAGCTTCCTGGAAAAGTCGTTGCAATATCCCGCACGACACATCAAACAGGGTTATCACGCGCCCCCATGGGCCTCATTTCCGCCATTATGACCGCCTACAACACTCACTGCGCTCTAGTAGTCAGCCCGGACGACGTGTGGTTGACGATTCTCTCCCAGTTCTGCGCATACGTCAACAAGAACGCCGAGGGTTTGCGCGACAGGGTGGTTGAGCATGAGGGCAAGAAGAAGCTGACAGTGTATGGGTATGGGTCGTTGGAAACGGCGGACTATGAAACACTGATCAAGGATCCCTAAGGACAAATCAGGCAGAACATCAAGCCCCCAGAGCTGGCGGACTGGTTCCTCCCTGGGTTCTCTACTACTACGGAGACAGACGAGGTGTGCGCGGCGGCAACAGCTATGGCGAGCCTCCAGGAGTACTTCAACTATGAAATGTGCCTCAGGTGCGGCATTCCGTCGGTGGCCCTGATGGGCACAGTCGAGGACTGGAAGCTGCTGCGGGAGAAGATCGAGCGTATGCTTGAGTTCGAGGTGCTGGACAACCCGGAGGGCAAGGTCATGGAGCTGTGGGTGGGGTACCTGAGGAAGGTGTGCGACGGGTTCGTGGAGTCGGCGGAGCACCCGAATAGCGCGGCGACGGTTGACTTCTGGGACAAGGTACTTATGTGCCTTTACGCTGAAGTAGAGTGGGTGCATAACACACTTCACCGGCGTGAAGAAACGTCGTTTATCGTTTCTCTTTCGAACTACCTTGATTTACACATTCTGTGGCCTAAAGAGGGAGACTTGTTCCCCGTGCCACACGTTCAACACGGCTTGTAGCCTCCGCCGTATCCTAAGGTCTCCTCTACGAAACACACGCAATATTTCCCTCCGAATACGACCAGACGGGTCGAAATTGCTGTACAATATAGCGGTCTCGTTCTGAGCCTCTCAATGGCACACACAAACATTCAGAAAACACCCCGTGCTGTTGGCCAGAAACACTACATGGTAAAGCTGGCTCCAACTCCGAGCCACAGAAACATTTGAGGGGGGCATGTCCAACAAGGGAGCCCTCCCTTCGCAACGTTTCCCGTATGCGCCACCTTCGAGAGAAACGGAGTGGGTGGGCTGGAGAAAACTCTGCCCGAACTTCAACGTTGCTCGCTGCTGATCTCCTGTGCCGCGCGACCCTCAAGAGTGGACTGCGTGCAACACGCTGTGTATTCCTCTCCTCAGCACGTTGCCCTTAGACCCAGTGGACACGTGTCTGTCAAACTCTTGCTGCAGGAGCAGCGAGGCAGTAAAATGAGAACGCCTGTGAGACTTTTCTCGTTTTGGGACCCCAGGAAACCGAACCGAGGCATCCCAACCAATAAGCCTCCCTGGCGGACAACAAGAACCCAACACTACTCGCAGACCTGGGAGATGTTCCGAAATTTCCCATTCACAACAAACTCCAGTTCATTTGGTATTCGTGGACAAACGTACTTTGTACTTCTGTAGGTGGGTATGCCGCGATGAAAATATCTATTGGGCGGGTCAGACTGTTCCGTCCTTAGTTCACAAGAGACGCTCGACTTACATGCCGAACGGGTCCGGAGGCAACAAACGTCAAAACCAGATCGTGGATAACTTTCTTGTTTCATCACCTCCAGTGAACACAGGTTGCTGTGCAGAGCTGTGTTTCTCAACCCGATATTGCTAGTGTTCTTGAAACTTTGAGAGTGGCATCTTGACGGAATTTCAAATGCGGTGCTTATTGACTGCAATTGTAGCAGTCCGATGATTCATGTACAGTGGCAAATGCACCAGGACTATTCGCCTCTTGAGATGTACATTACCCACACTGCGTTGTCATTCTCTCAAAACCGCAGTCGTGAACGTGCTTCGGTTGTTTGTTGCAGGTCTTCTCTCACCGACATTTTGTCTCGGGAGTGACGTTCACGACAGGCTGGGTGTCCGCGTTTTCGTGCTTCGACAAAGACGGCAACTTCATCGGGAAGAACACAGGGAAGGGCGGGGAGTTCCCACTCGTTACTTCACTTTGCCACAACGTTGTTTCGTGCCCTGTGGCCATCGACGACAACGGATATGGGTATGACGCCACCTTGGTTACAGGACAGGTGGCCTACAGGGCAGAACGAGGTGCCAAGGCTGGATATCCGACCATGTGTCCGCGCAATGACTGGTGTCTGGCTGTGGCGGTGAAATGAATCTGGCTGCTGCATGCAGTCTGTGTTGATCTGCATGGATAAGTTTCGTGGAAGATGTCGGCGGTAGAGAAGCACTATTCGATTGTTAAGGATGATTTGGGAATTGTTGCCACGCGTACCTGAACAACATGTCTCCTGGTTTCTTTTGGGTTGTCAGGGGTTCGCTCTGTCAAGAGGAACAAATAACTCTTCACATGTCGATGGGACGCACGTACTTTTCAGTAGGAAGAGGATGGTCTCCAGGTGGAAAATACGTGCTGATGCACGAGTCCGCATCGTAATGTCCCGGAGTAGGTGACCAAGACCGTAAGATAGGTGGTGATAAACTGTGGGAAGCGACGGTTGCCTGATGATGAGAGGTTCCGAGACTAGCACAGGGAAAATGAGCATGGCCTAGTGCTTGTGTCCCGAGCTCATATATGTACTCTGGAATGTGCGGCTCTGGTTGGGGTGATGAAAACACCAGTCAATGGAGGGTGGCTCGTATTCCTTGTTGATGTATTGATATACTCATCGAGTGTCCAGTGGTCGCCCCAGTGCCGAGCGGGACCGTTCATACTGTACCGAGGTATCCGTATTCTCACTTTGCGGTGATTAGTACACCTTCACTACAGTGCCGGCCCGCTCGTAAGAAACAACCTCGTAAGCATGTGGACCTCACAAGGCTTGTGCAATTGTGAGAAGAAGGTCACAAGGAACTGAACTCATTTCATGGACAACAGGAAGATGTGGAGTACCGAGAAACCGCACAATACAGACCCCCCAATAATAAGAAGCACAGGGATTTGTGGTCGGGTGTGAAGAGAAGAAGGAAACTCGGACCCCTTGTGACAGCTCGCCAGCGATGTCGACCTCGACCCCGATGAGTACACCTTTGCCATGCAGCTTCCAGACGAGTTTCGTCCTCAGGAGTCCTCTCCGGCGAAGCTAGACAGCGCGCAAAGAACAAGAGTCTGGGTGAGGTGTAGATCAGTCCCGCGGCTACCCCACATAAGAACACGCGTGGTGTTGGTATACGCTCGAAGAAAGCTCCACATTATAGGGAGAGCTTGCCTCTCAAGATGTGCGTACCGTGTAAAACAAGAGGGAGATGGAGTTGTAGGAGCGGGAATCGAGCGATAGATGTTTGCTACGAGTGGGCGGCACGCCGACAGGGTGACAAGGGGCAGACCCCCGACGTTCACAACAATGACCAGGGGTGATGAGAATTGGTACAACACTTCGGGACTTTATGACGATCGAGTTTCGACGCGGGCGGAATCTCATTTGTCCGCCATCTTCCCGAACGATCACGTACATAGAATGTAGTGCTTGCCAAGGTTCTTGTAGCTTGTAGTCGTACACAGAGGGAAGAGCGTAGTGCTGAACTCTTGTCACATCAGGTACCGCAGGAGGGGAAGTTAGAGAGGAGCTCTTCTGTGACCACGGGTTGGAGTAAACGGCACAACTAGTCTACAGCAGTAGTAGTGCTGTGAGCGATGATTTGAAGTTGAGGCATGAAAGATAAAGTTACACCATGAGACTAGTCAGCGGCTGACTTGTCTAGACTAATCATGTATCTTTAGACTATCTTAAGAGATATGCGCTCAGCTCATTAGCACCCGGCAGGATCACTTGGGTTTCTATGGCTTGGGATTGAGTGCAGGGATCTCCGGGGACAGACCCCTTGCCAGACGCTGACAGTTCTAGGTGAACTTTTTGTAAAAACAAGTGATCCAGCCAGTATTTGAACTGGTGCGGGTATCCTTTGAAAGATAAAATCAATCTTACAAGGCAAACGAAAAAACAATGTTCAGACTGCGGACTGCTGTGTAAGAGGTAGAAAGTTTCGACCCTCGCCCAACACGAAAACCGATATATTGCCTGTTGGTAGGTTCATAGAGGAAACAGCTGTAGCTGCAAGGGTTGTCGAAAAATTAGCGGGTGTAGCGTGAGTCGGATGAAGGAAACGTACACAGCAGCAGCTGGCTGCTGTACAGTTGGCGCCCGCAGTTAAGAAACGCTTATTTCAGGTCCAGCCTCGATTTCTTATTGTGGGCTATAAACTCAGCGTATGTCGTTCAGTTTCTTCTTTCAAGTTTCTTANCGTACACAGCAGCAGCTGGCTGCTGTACAGTTGGCGCCCGCAGTTAAGAAACGCTTATTTCAGGTCCAGCCTCGATTTCTTATTGTGGGCTATAAACTCAGCGTATGTCGTTCAGTTTCTTCTTTCAAGTTTCTTATTTTTTCGTGCAGCCAAATCCTGCTGAATTTCTTAAATCGGCAATTTCTTACATCTCTGCTTGCATACTACACAACGTTCCAAATATACAAATGATTTGTACTGCTTTCCTCGACCCTGTACTCAACCCCGATTCTCACTACCGACGGCTGCACGTAAGGCCACTCCCTAGAAGCGAAATGTGTCCAGCGGCAACGTCTCGCTATCGCAAGGTCCTGTACCCCCCTCATGAGTGAGGGCTGAAACTAAACAAATGCACAAACACCGCATGATGCCTCACCCGCACGCTGAAGTACCAACAACGAAAACTACCCCGTCATAATGTTGCAAGCTCCGTGAGGCGAACATTGGGGGTTGTCACCCTTTTGCGCCTCCCGCTCCCTTCCTTTCTTATTGAGACATTTCGTTTTTTATTTTTATTTTTTTGCCATCCGACAATTGCAGATGTACCTCAGAAAACTTTCACTTAATGTCTCATACTCTACATGAATATTAAACCAGTACGAAGTACAACAACATATGTAGGACTTATTTCTACTGTCATTTACATCGTAAAAATATCTCCTCTTCAACTTGAAATAAAACCAATGACAATCCTGATGGTATCCTATATGCGTTCGTCAACATATTCGCCTGATTGAGAGCGTAGCATCTGATTGAGAGCGAGATTGCGCGATACGCTGTAGTCGGACTACCACTGAGAGGTGGAGCTTGCTGTGTAGCTTGAATTGAAGGGCTAGCCGGTAGCTTCAAGCCGCTACCCTGGTCATCCTGTGGGAGTCTCTCGTTGTGGAGCTACAGCGGGGAGCAGAAGCTACAGCAGAGCCCACCGCCCGACGCGATACCGCCCTGAAACAGTTTGAGCAGAAATAGCCAATCTGGGCAAATCTAGCAACTTGTCTAGCTCCTCGCTGCAGCATCCGATGA